TCCCTTGACATCAAAGCTCACCAGGCTGAGCACCTTGCCCATCCTCCAAGCTCTGTATATGTTCTCCTGCAGGAGCATAAGCGCTTGTTCCGCCGAACGTCTCTTCCTCGCCCCAAAATGGTTGGCCGGCAGCAAGCCGTGCGTCTCGACCGCATACGATATTCGCTCCGCCACCACCGCCTCTAGCACCTTGCCCAGCGTTGAGAGCAGGGAGATCGGTCGGATTCATCTGTTGGGCTTGCGGTGCCACGTACCAAACGAATCAGATTGTCAATCAGGTAGCGTCAAGGCCCTATAGGGACTCCCCTCCGGGCGTAATAAAATCCATCCATCCGTACCCGCGACGCAGGTAGGTGATGTGGTCTTGTACGAACTCATCCGGAGGCTCGGGATATGGACTAGGAGCAGGTGATTGCGTCGAAACGGATAATGCGGATACGGAGGGGGCAGGAGACGACGCTGGGCTCGGGAGGGATATCGGCGTTGAGCGGGCCGTCAAGGGCGACGGTGAGGTTGGCGCTGGAGATCCCATGATAACAATTACGCCGGGTTTCGTAGATTCCGATCGTTAGTTCTCCGTTGATCGCATAATTACGGTAACGTCGAACATGACATGGGGGCAACATCACGGGAAAGAAAAAAAACAATTTGGCCTCCCTTGTCGAGCCAACGTGGTTGACGCGTACGCAGCATGCCGCGTTAGGCCACACTCAATTATACATGCATCCACCATGTAGCGGGATACTCTAAGAAGTATCCACTAACATGAACTAACTAACTAACAGGAATGGCATTCCTCGAGTTTAGCTACCCGACAGCAAGGACTGGGAACGCCAATGCAGTAGCGAATCGACTTAATTGACGCAATCAACTCCATATCGTGATGACACTAGAAGTTTCAATTAATCAGAGTAGGCCATACGGTAGCACATCCTAGTTCACAGCCTTCGGATGGTCGTTGAGTTAGTCGTCACCGGTGCCACTGTGAGAACACTCACCAGAGGAAGACATGAGGCGGATACGGGGGATGTGCGCTGGTTTATGGTAACCAGGTTCAGTCGACTCCACTTCTTGAGCCAATCCAGATGCTCTAAATCAGCCACTTACCGTAACCAGTTTAGCGTTGCCGGTATGATCTGGTTTTCCGGTAATACCATGGTATTGGGCTGACCCCAAACCATACCAAGTCTTGGCGGTATATACCATACCAATACCAACTTATACCATACCATTCCGATCACTGGGGCCGCCGCCCTGAATCCCGTCCAGCCGGGCCTCAAGCCGGATGGCGAGCCGCTGGCTATTCTGTAATAGGGCCTCCCGCGTGCTCTCTATGACGCCGCTTAGTTCCAGCAGTGCGCGTCGTACGACCAGGCTTACCGGCTCCGTAGCCCCTACCGCGGTGGACCGCACGGCGACGGCGAACTCGTCCCACTCGGGCCCGCTAAAAGGGGCGTAGGCGAAGAACGGTAGTGACGGGTAGCGGAGCTGTAGGACAGCAAGGTCCTGCAGAAGTACTACAGTAAAAGGCGTAATGGGCGTCGCACTGTAGTCTACTTAGCGTTTTTAGTGGGGCTACTTTCTCGGCCACTGTTGGCTCTGTGGACCTGAAAGCCAGTAATGGCGAATGCCTTAAACGGCAGGCCCACTAAATCTGGTAAGTACTCACAGTGCGACACCCATTGCGCCTTCTACTGTATACGCAGGCGCCGCTATCGTCCCTTGCAGTGCTTTAACTGCCAGCAGACCGGACACATAGCCAGGAATTGCACCAAGCCCCAAGTCTGCGCCAAGTGTGCCACCGAGGGACACCATCACAAGACTTGCAACGTAACGACGCATGAGTGTGCGCTCTGCGGTGGGCCTCACGAATCGTACAGCAGGAACTGCAGGAAGCTCTACCCTTCCACGCATGAGTAGCACGCTTCGGGTGATTCAGTACAACGTGGCGAAAACCGCCGAGGTGCATGAGAGTCTCATGAATGACAATCAGATTGAGGACGTAGTGGTGCTGGCCATCCAGGAGCCCCAAGCACGCCTGATTAAGGGAAATCTTCTGACAACGCCGACGGCGCACCACAAGTGGACGAAGATGGTGCCCTCTACGTATCTGGAAGGGAGGTGGGCGATCCGAAGTATGCTCTGGATCAGGAACGACCTCGAAGCAGACCAGGTCACCATCGAGTCCCCGGACATGACGGCGGCGCTCATACGTCTCCCAGAGCGCCAGGTGTTGGTGTTTTCAGTCTATGTGGAGGGAAGAAATGATCAAGCGCTCACGACGACGTGCGATAACTTGCGGAGGGTGATCAACGACACGAGGCGAGACGCTGGTACAGTCGTAGATGTGGTGATCGCGGGCGACTTCAATCGTCACGACCACCTCTGGGGAGGAGATGACGTGAGGCTGGAAAGACAGGGTGAAGTGGATGAGATCATTGACCTGATGAACGAGTTCGCTTTCAGCAGCCTTCTCCAGCGGGGCATCAAGACTTGGCAACGTGGAGTCCACGAGTCAACTCTTGACCTGGTCTTGGCTTCGGAGGAGTTGGCGGGCGCGGTGGTGAAATGCACCCCGCTTGGTACAGAACATGGGTCGGACCACCGGGCTATCGAGACGGTCTTCGATGTCTCCGTCCCAGCGCCGCCGACTCGAGGACGGCTCCTACTCAAGAATGCACCATGGAAGGAGATCAATGCTCGAATTGCCGCTACACTGGAGGCTACACCAACGGAAGGCACAGTTCAGCAGCAGACAGACAAGCTCATGTCTGCAGTACTGGATGCAGTATACACTCTGACGCCAAGAGCGAAACCGTCCAATTGCGCCAAGCGGTGGTGGACTTCGGACTTGACCCAGCTTCGGCGTATCCACACGTTCTGGCGCAACCGCGCTAGGGCGTCAAGACGAGCAGGCCAACCGTGTGCCGAACTAGAGACGACAGCCAGGGACGCTGCCAAGCAGTATCATGATGCCATCAGACAACAAAAGAAGACGCATTGGAACGACTTCCTCGCCGATAACGACAACATCTGGAATGCGGCAAAGTATCTGAAGTCGGGAGACCGCTCCGCTTTCGCCAGGGTGCCGCAACTTCTAAAAGCTGATGGCAAGCGAACGGCAAGCACTAAGGAGCAGGCTGAGGAAATGCTGTCCACCTTCTTCCCTCCTCTACCGGAAGTCATTGAGGAGGAGGGCGCACGACCCCAGCGGGGGGCTGCCGTCGTAATGCCGGACATTACGCTGGAAGAGGTTGAGCGGCAGCTCTTCGCGGCCAAGTCGTGGAAGGCGCCCGGTGAAGATGGGCTTCCCGCTGTGGTCTGGAAACAGGTCTGGCCGGTCGTGAAACTACGAATTTTAGCACTGTTCAGGGCGTCGCTCGGGAATGGCGAACTTCCCCACCAGTGGCGGCACGCAAAGATTGTTCCGCTCAAGAAGGCGGACAAAGCAGACTACTCGGCCGCGACGGCCTGGAGGCCTATCTCGCTTCTGTCCACGCTAGGAAAGATCCTAGAGTCAGTTATCGCAGAAAGGATCTCGCACGCCGTCGAAACCTACGGACTATTGCCTACCAACCACTTTGGGGCCCGCAAACGACGATCGGCTGAGCAAGCACTGATGTTGCTGCAGGAACAGATCTACGCAGCCTGGCGGGGTCGTCGCGTCCTCAGCCTCATCACTTTCGACGTCAAAGGAGCGTACAATGGGGTGTGCAAGGAAAGACTCATTCAACGGCTACGGGCGAGGGGCATCCCAGAGGTTCTGCTCCGCTGGGTGGAAGCCTTCTGCTCGGGCCGCACAGCAACCATACTGATCAACGGGCAAGTGTCGGAGGAGCGAAACTTGCCGCAGGCTGGGTTGCCGCAAGGCTCTCCTCTGTCGCCGGTTTTGTTTCTCTTCTTCAACGCGGATCTGGTACAACGTCGGATTGACTGCCACGGCGGGGCGATGGCCTTCGTGGATGACTTCTCTGCGTGGGTTGCGGGCCCGACGGCGCAAAGCAACCGCAGTGGCATCGAAGCAATTATCGAGGAGGCGTTGCACTGGGAAAGGAGAAGCGGCGCAACCTTTGAGGCACACAAGACGTGCATTATACACTTCACCCGAAAGGCGCACAAGTCGGACACGCAGCCCTACGAGATCAAGAGTCAGCTTGTCCACCCCAAAACTCACGCCAAGGTTCTCGGAGTAATCATGGACTCGAAGCTCAAGTACAAAGAACACATTGCCTGGGCAGCGACAAAAGGCTTGGAGGCAGCTATGGAGCTACAGCGACTCAGGGGTCTCACCCCGGCAACCGCCAGACAATTGTTTTCGGCCATGGTGGCCCCAGTGGTGGACTATGCTTCTAACGTCTGGATGCATAGATGTGTTTACAAACGGGCTGGCCCCATCCATCGAATCCAGAGGGTTGGGGCACAGGCAATTATCGGCACGTTTCTCACGACGGCAACAAGTGTAGCAGAGGCGGAAGCGAGCATCGCTAGCGTGCAAGAACGGTTCTGGAAGCGGGCGGTCAAGATGTGGACTAACCTACACACCTTGCCGGAAACCCACCCTCTTCGCAGCGTGACGGCCTGCATTCGAAAGTTCAGGCGGTATGCGCGGTCCCCATTTTACCAGGTCGCGACAGCACTAAATGAGATCCCCATGAGAGAATTGGAAACGATCAACCCATTCACCGTAGCGCCGTGGGCGGAGCGAGTACAAGCCATAATGGCCGACGAAGACGCGCCGTTGTCGCGGACAGACCTAGGTTGGGCGGTTCGCGTCGCGGTGAGCAGCTCAGCATGGAACGGAATAGTGGGAGTCGGTGGCGCTATTGACCTTCCGGTGTTGGTGCAGGGGGGGGGTCCGAAAGTTGAGCCCTTCTCTTTTACGCTCGGCGTGAGGACGGAGCAGAATCCGTTTTCTGGGGAGCTAGCAGCCATTGCATGTGCGCTTCGGCGGCTGCCAGAACTACGGTACCGCAGCATCGCGCTGTTGACGAGCAACAAAGCGGCTGCCCTCACCCTTCGTAACCCCCGCCAGCAGTCCGGCCAGGAATATGTCGCATGCATATATGACTCCATCGAAGCACTCAGAAGGAACGGGAACATGGTGGCGATCCTGTGGATACCCACCGGCGCCGAAAACGGGCTCCTGCAGTGTGCCAAGGCACAGGCGCGCGATGCCACCAGAGAAAGCGCCAATCCGTCGTTGAAACCCCCGAGAATGCGATCGACGACGCTCGGCCTGGCCCGATCGGTTCACTGCGTTGTTGCGGACATACCGGATGATGTCGGGAGGTTCTCGAAGCGAGTGGACTCTGCACTCCCGGGCAAGCACACACTGCAGCTGTACGACAAGTTGTCATGGAGAGAGGCAAACGTACTAGCACAGCTCAGGACGGGCATTTCGAGGCTAAATGGCTACCTGCACTACATCACAGCAACATCGCAGCAGTGCGCATGCGGATGGGTCAAGGAGACAGTGGAGCATTTTCTGTTCTACTGCCCAAAATGGACGGAACAACGCGCCGAAATCTTACGGAGCAGTGAGGCACAAAGGGGAAACCTCTCCTTTTGCCTTGGAGGAAAGGCATTGTCGGACGATGCAACATGGACACCAAATATGACGGCAGTTCGAGCGACAATTCGATTTACACTGGCCACAGGACGGCTTGACAACAGAGACTGAACAGGCGATAGCCACCACCCACCCTCCTTCCCTAACGTAATCCACACCCAACACCTCGTGCCATAAACAGCAGGCACCGCTTCAGTCGCCGTAGATAGGACTCTGAACACTTGAAGAATAGCCTTCAAGTTTGCTTGCTAATAATACAATTCCACGAGACCCCGTAGTGCGATGGAAATGCAGCAAGAAAGGCGGAATGATCAAAGGAGAAATCGAGCATGACAAGGGTTCCCAGGCAGCCAGGGAAGGACTGCCTAACAAGAATGTCAAATAAGCAGATAGTTGCCCTATTGGCTAGTCGCCACCGGGCGTAATCAACTAATGAATGAATGAATGTATACGCAGGCGCCGCATAAGCTTAAGGAAGCCGTCGGCGGATCTCGATCAGCCAAATGACGATTGGTTTTCCGACTCGTGACTAGCCACGACCCTGACGCCCAAAGGTTCCAGGTTGGACATGGTCTCGAATACGCCTGGGTGCAACGCCATTGACTCAGGCCCAAAGTTGTGGTTGAGCGCTGGCTGGAACAGCTGATGCGGAGGAAGGGGCATCTGGCGCGATTCATCTGCGTGGGGATTCATTGATCCCGGCATGGACGTGTCAGGACGTGCTGCTGGATACAGCTCTGATTTCCCCGGTGAAGGCATGTCCAGGACCATTCCAATGGCCGCTAGCTCTCTAGTCAACAGATTGAGAGCGCTGTTGATCACTGGAGGACCGTCAGCGACTCAGGTCTGCCATGTTACTCATGTACTGCCTACCTGGGCTGAAATTCTTCACTTGGTCGAGGCATTGGATACAGTAGCTGAGCTTTGCCATGGCCTGCTGTGCGTCAGGAGTCGCCTGGACCTGAAGCAGGAAGATGGAAGCGGCGATGTAGACGCTATATGCGAGCGACAGTACGCAGTAATTCATCGTAAAGGTGCGGCAGAAGAGGTCGAAGATGGTAATGATGGCCGTCGCCGATGTAACACATGCCACCAGGTAGCCCTTGACTTGGGCGCTGCTCTCATCTGTCCCCTGTCCCCGGCCTGTGAGCATGGGACGATAGAGCAAAATTTTGAATGTGTGGTAGAGACAGCTGATAGTTGTTAGTGAATTGCGCTCCCAGGGTCGCTAACGGGTCACGTACTTCATTGTCACGATGTGAGACGGGGGTGCCATGGGAGGCAGAGCGAGGGGATCAAGCTTTAGGTGAGGAGCCAACCGATTCCACCATTCCTGAAAGGCTGGTTCCTGGGTGCGGAAACATTCCTGCACCTCTGCGTCGGTGTTCTGGGAGAGTGGGTCATACATGTGAATAAGGATCTCGTTGAAGATGACGGACAAACTGCACATGCTCATGAAGCATGAGGTGGAATGGGCGGGGGTGGGCGGGTATTTCCAGGTAACTCCAACTTGTTCCGCGCCGAACGGCACCCAAATGTCTTCCTCAGCAGAGTCGTCGACTAGACATGTGTCAGCGCTGAAGGAGGTGGCTTTGACAAGTCTCTCTCCTGGCCAATACCGGCCGTGGCTATAACTGTAATTGGAAAAACGGACAGGCCCAGAAGATGGTGTGGCTACCGTAAGTCCGTAATGCAAAAGTACAGTAACGGCACCGTTGTGACGTTACTGGCCCTACTCTGGACTTGCGTCCGAACTAGATCTGCACATCCAGAACCAGGCCCTGTGGCCGCATAGCGTCTTGCATAGAAATGGACACACCTCCACGCAACGACGTCGAGAAAGTGGCATGACCTGTAGCAGCCGACGACAAGCAGAGACCGGACGGCAGGAAGCGACCGAGATGCCGCCAGACAACGTCAGGAAACCGACTTTAGCTGCGGCGTAGCGTGCACCCGAAATGTGCCAAGACCGTGTGTGCTACGGTGATCCGCTTGTCAAGCTTTGCACAATGTCCGCCATCGCCGTATTCGACAGTTAGACGGCACAAATCCCTGCGACTGCGTCTCGGCACAGACTCCACGTCTGCGAGCGGCATGTCTGGAACCGGGCGACGCCGTCCATATGATGGATTTGGACGAACCAGGAACTGGCCGTCGCCATGCAACCACGTTGCGAAGCTGACATGTACTGAAGCTGCCACACCCGACGCAAGAACTGGACGAAGCGGTTCCCCATGCTTCGCAATGATCTGCACGGCAAGCTCTGGCTGCCGCTACGTCCCAATGTCAGGAACAACCGGCATGTATTGTACTGTACCTTAACTGCCAACAGGAAGCAGAAGAATTGGTCGGCGCACGTCTCTGCCCTTGGTGGTCTGCATGTCAGGCATCGGACGAAGCGGGTCCGGCCGACGCATCCACTTACATGTTTCACGTCAGTAATTGACCACATCAAGGAGCGGACGAAGTGAGATGCAGGCAACGGCGCGACCAGAAGCCAACGAACGGTGGGTAACTGCCACGCGAAGAAATGGACAGTCGCACGCTCTTGAAAGAGTGATCTGCATGCCGAAAACTGGACGGCGTACCCACAGCGTCGCACAGCACATGGCGCTGACACACCATACGCGAATCCAAATCATGAGCAGCATGACACGAGTTGGACGACGCTCTCTACGCATGGCAAGAAGTGTCACGCTGCCACCTCATCTGGATGCAGCCCCGTATCCAAATTCATCTTTCGGACCGCGCGGGCCAGATTGACCACACCTGACCACACTTCAATGGTGTGGTCTGCTTGTCAGGAACCGGAAGACAAGGTAGCGGGAGACACCGCTCAACGACGCCCAGAAAGCGGCGTCTGGGTCTAGTCGACTGTCCACTTGCTCCATACCCATACAGAACTGGGCGCGTTTTCCACAATGCCACAACTCGCCCCGGCTCCATGGCAATGCCGCTGTGGAAAGAAAAGTCTCTACCGGACAACTGTACCACATGGGCCAATTCATGCCTCTCCTTGGCCGGGGGCATGGAGCCCTTCTTCCCATCAGTCTCCGCACTTTCGGTGCGGAAGGGCGCACGGGATATGGCCGATTGCTCACAGCCTTCCACACCACCCAGAGCCGGCCACATTCACAAACCCCCTTTCCTATCCTCGGCTGGGGATGGAACATTGTCCGTAATTACAGCAAGTGCGGGCTGTCACGGCTCCAAAAGTTGCACAATTTGTCCTTTGAGGCGACTTGGAGAGTGCTGCCGTGCCGCCAGGTCGTTGACGTCTTGACCTGAGCCGATGGAGTACATTCGTATTGCTCACACCCAACTTTTGCGATGCGGTCTTTTTCGGCCCATCAGCTGCCTACGTACTGCCGCACTGTACTGTACCTAAACCTCACCCGTCGTGGTACGAAAAAGAGTATCGAAGTTTGCGAATTGATGCTACTAGCTCTGGCGGAGGGTGGCCGCGCCTTCGTCCTCGATACACCACCGATCTCGATTGTGAAAACAGCCGCATGCATCATGGCTGCAACCTATTGGCACGCGGCCATGCAAACGGGCAGCACACGGCCGACTGCAAGCATTTATGTGTCATTGTTTGTTCTGTAGGGCACTGACGCAGCAAGCTGTTCTGGACGTGTGCTCAAGCAGCGCGACCAGTACAAAGCATTGTGGCGTACTGCTCTGGAATTGCTCTGCGCAATGTGGTTCTGAAGATAAAGTTTATCGAGAGTCGATAGCCTGGCACATTCGATCTATTGGGCTCCCATGTTATCTTCAATGTCTGGCAGTATGTGCCGCTGTGATCCAGCTGCTGGGGTATCTGAATCCCAGGACTATGCACGAAAGTATTTCTTGCTCGTCTCTTTATTAAGCTGAGATTAACGATTCGTGTCTGCGAGGACGCAAGTTGGATTTTTGCGTCTCTCTGACCTGGGCCAGTCGTATCTGGTGTTTGCTATTTTGCGCCAAGGATCCCCTAATGGTCGCCTTAGCTGAGCCCTTGGAGCTCCCTGCGTACCGTTGACCCGGCCGCTAGGCAGTGACATGGCGCAGTGACGGCTCGAGGGAAATCGGACTCCCTTATGCATCAGCACAACGCCGGACTCAGCCGGATACTGCGCCTGTGCGTTTGGAGGCTCTGCGTTTTTTCCTTTGTGGATGCGGCATGGCACCAAGGGGCGCATCTTTGGTCCTGCGCCACTGACGACGAGCATCTGCAAGTCAAACATGACTTCCCGCAAGTGCCCGTACATTGACAGCTCAAGTTCTCGCGCAGTAGCCCCGTGATCTTTTCGAACCTGGCCCGGTCACTTGTAGACTGGTGTCTGTCATAAAAAAGCTTGCGCAGGTGGCTCCATCCTCTGAGGAGCTGCAGCGGTATCGGCTCATTCGAGACAGACGGGCGTATAGATATCCACAGGAGCTTCTCAATCGACTCTAGAATGCGAAGTGCGTCCATGAACATGCCACCCGTCATCCGTGAGTCTGCCAACGTGAGTACAGCGTGAGGGAGGAGCTGTGCGGAGGGCATGATGAGCGTATCACCCGGCTCCAAGACAATAGCGACAACGCTTTCGGGAACCCAATTGTCGCCTTCATCTGTGAACTTGACCATCTCGGATTCGTTCGTGTCTGTCGCGAAAATCCAAAGCTTCAGGCCCCACTCAAGACATACCCATGTTGCATCTGGGCTATCGACGTGGAATCCGGTAAAGGCACCTCGCTGGGCGAATAGCGAAAAGGTCAAGGAGCGGTCCAGGTCGACTTCTCTGGCCTCGACCATCACGGCGTGGCCCCGTTTTCCGGCGATCGCTTGTCCGGTAAGCTCCGCCTCTAGACGTGAGCTGATTGCCGGAAGGACATCGAACCGACGCAGATTGAGGAACGCAGGAGCCGGTGGGACTTGTCCCAGATACTTCAGGTTCAGCAGGTTTATCGGAAGTCGCCCTGCCGGAATGTCCGCCCCTTCTCTAATTCGGCCAATAACGTCGCAGACAGGTGAGGAGACGGCGGCTTTCGTTTTAGTACTTGGGTCTTGTACGTCCACCTTGCTATCGCCAAAATGATCGTTCAGAGCCTCTAAGAAGTGATCCAGTCCCTGGCCTCGTCGTCCTAATTGACGTGATCTCACCACCGTGGGTTTGTGCAAGATGAAGTTTTGGGCCATCATTCTCTCTATGTCGTCTTCTGTAGTGTACCAGACGTCTGCGTCGTCCGCGGTCGTTGTTATGGGCCCGATTCGCGCGATCGGTATGTCGCGATCAGAAGGGAAGATCCGGTTTAGGAGTGTCAAGCTATCCTCCCACCTTGTATGGCTGAGTTGAGAGTTTTTCGAGTTCCGGCATTCTCGAAGCAAATCTTGAATCATGGAACCGTACTTGGTGCGCATTTGGACCGTCTCAATGCTCTCGCGAGGCATTCCGGGGTCGTGTGACCTCTGTGTCGATGCCGCCGCCGCAGCACCTGCGTGCTCCCGGTCAAGTGAAGGAACCAGCATGTAAGAAACGTGCTTCGTGCTGTGCTCGTGCTCTTTCTTGCCGGTGGAGATGAATATTCGATCGCACTCGGTGCATCTATACAGTAGGGTCCGTTTTAAGTGTCCCTTTTCCGATCAATGAAATTGGAGAACAAAGCCTGTGTTTGGGCTGTTGGTGGTGCTGGGTTCTGTCCTCCGCCGAAGCTGAATGTAACTGTACCCATGGTCTCCCGCGAGTTTTGGTCGGCAATTCGCCGGATTTGAGTTATGCTATCTTGCGGAGCTCTTATGGCTGTTTGCAAGGCCTGTCCATATCATCCTGAGTTTCTTTGGAGTCCCTTCGTCTGGCACGACGCATTTCTATCTGTTGTAGTCTAAGGGCAATTGGCGAGGATACAAGAGCGGCTCAAAGAGAAGCCGACACGCCCCCACTTTCAGCCAACATTGGACGCATTGTAAATATACATTGAGTGAAAATAGTGACACTCAATACGGACCCTACTGTAGTGCTCTGATTTGTGATGTCTTTTCATCCTGTCACGTTGGAGAGCCAACCCGCACCCGAGCTCACACTCCACCTTCTCACGATAACGAGCCGGTCTCTTTGTCCACGTGCTCACTTTTTCACCGTTATGGCCTGTTGTGTTGTGGTGTTTCAGCCACGCCTCGCCAACGAAGAT